CGCTATCGGGTATGTAGAAATTAAAATGTATCAAAAAGGTTATTTTGACATTATCCGGGATTCGACGCAGTGTTGATCTGCGGCAGTTCTCAAACAAACAACATGTAGCCGTATTTGGGACCCTCGAATATTCTTCTATTTCTAATGCACATTCGTGCGGCCGTTGATGATGCTGAGTAGCCCTTTCTGCTCGTTGCCAGCATGGCCGACAGATGAATTCTTGCTCGTTGAACTGCAGCTGGAAAAAAATCCATTTTTAGAGCATTGCCATAGGCACAAGCTTCGATATGGCGACTCGTAAAAAACAATATGACCGGTTCGATGACGCATTTGGTAGTGACTCTGTCCTTTGCTGACCTCCGTAGCCGAGAGGCGTACATATCGGTTTTCAAGGTGACGCTTTCTCAGAGGTCCCGGGTTCGATATTATTATTATTATTTGCGCCAGGGGTCGCAGGTTCGGTTCCCGCTCAGGACAAACACATGTGTTTATTCATTTTGTAATACTAACCTGGTGTTCAGGAGCCATAGTCTCAATAATATATTGGGCTATCAAAGGGTTCGCTTCAAACAGAGCATGTGTTATTTCAAATCTTCTTCTGTTTATAACAGAGCGATTGCACAAAACACATAGACGACGATTATCTGCCATGGTTCACAAAATCCAATTCACAAAGCTTACAAAATCCAGAAACAAGCACAGGTCAACAAAGTGAGATGAAACAAGTCCGGTAGGCAAGCTAGAGTCGAATTAGATTTGAAAACTGGGTACGTAAATCGCACAGTACACAACGAAACAAGCTTAAACGTAGGACTGCAACGGTCGCAGGCTTTCATCACCTGACCACATCATATTATGAGCTCGTCGCTGATTGGTCAGGGCCGCCGGCGTTAAGTGCGCTCGTCGCTGATTGGTTAGTTGTTTCTACCTGTTTAAACCCCACATGGAAGCGGCGTGTGCATGATTTTCTAAACAGGTAGAAACAAATTCTAAGTAACAAGGTTTAGTAATTAAGGTAATTATTTATTTACCTTAATTACTAAACCTTATTAAGTAATTAAGGTATATATTTTAGGATATGTATGTAAGGATATGTACATAATATGAATATATAAGCACTAGGATGTAAGTACCTTTTTTCTCAAATGGAATAAAGGTGTACTTTCTTAACCAAAGTTGTTCTTCATTAGCCCCCCTTTCGATTGATACCACTTTCATTACTGGCTGCTAATGGGACAGAACGCCTATTGTCCTTTGATTGTTTTCTTGTACTATTATATATACATATTGTACTATTTTTTATTTGAAAGAGTATATTCTCAAAATAATGCCATTAAAATTTTGCTAAACAGTAGTTTTGATTTAATATAAAAAAAATCGTAAAATAATCCTTATTATGTCAAATTGAAGCATTGTTGAGGAAGATTATTTACTTTATCGATGGAATGCAATAGTATGATTTAGCGAAGATGTTTTGCAATGAGTTTCTTTTTAGAGTTTCATACCCACAGGGTGAAAAACAACCACTGTCCGTCCTTCCGCCTGTCACCAGGCCCTATCTCATGAACAGTGATATTAAGACAGTTTAAATTTAAACAGATGATGTATTAATGGTACTATAATAACAAATACCATAAAATAGAATAAAATTTATAAACCCCTTAAATAATAAGGGGTTGACATACAACCAACGTGTTTTTTTCTTCTTTCTTGCGCAACTCACACTTGACCGTTTTTTTGATAATGTCGTTTCCATGAAATACCAAAACCTGTGCACACGGCTCATGTTTATTTCTATTATTATTTTGGGCTAGAATAGACTTACAGTCTCTTCCGAGTTTCTGAGACAGTGTGAATTGACATTTTACTTAGCGCGTTTATCGTAATTGCCCTTCGTTTACGTATGATAGTATTATACTCGTATATTATTTGATAGTATCACAATAAAAGTCTTACTTGTTGTTAGCTTATTTTTGCTACTAGCCTGTTTTAAAGTTGTCGTTTAGTTATATGAACTGTCCATACATCCTCCCTTGTCTGTTTTCTATGGTTTTCAGCAGGCTTACCGCTTGTCGAAATTGGTATTGAATTTAATCAAAATTACACCTAGCGTTCAATTGCATTGTGTTCAACCCGATATATTTAGCATATTATATAATAGCTTTCGCCAGCGGCTTCGCTAGGGAAATGTTTAGTGGGACAAATAGTATCCTATTATCTAAATCAGCTAATACCCAAATACCAAATTTCATCATAATCCTTTCAGTAGCTCTGCGTGATTGACGGACAAGCATCCAAACAAAGAAACTTTCATATTTATAATGTTAATAGGATGTGACATAACAATACATATTGAACGTTGAGTGTAATCCAATGTTATAAGGCAGCCCTTGCAGCCGTTTCTTTTCGTTGATGATACCCAGTACTTATTCAAAGGATTATAGTACCGTGCAGCTAATATTTTTCATCATTCTCCAGTACTATATAAGCCCTACACTACTCCAGTAATTTTCTTGGATGTAGACTGTCAATATCGCCTTGAATAGTCAATATGTCAATGTCACTTTGACATATTGACTATTGTGTTTCTTGTTACTTAACCATCGTTGCTTTCATTATTTTATTAATAAAACAATAATATTATTGCTACAGTCTTTATTAATTTACATTTTACCGTATACATACAAAAATGCTGGTAAATCATAATATATATACATGCACACAAAATAGTTGTATTTAGAAAATCGGTAATATAAGTTATTTTCTTTTTCCAAAATCATAGTAGTAAAATCTAAACTATTCATCCAATTCATTTGGATGAAAGAGATTTTTTATGTACATTACATTCCTTTAACGATAAGCTTATCTAGTTCCATAAGGACTTAATATCATCTACTCAAATAAACGTCTAAAGACGGACAAAAAATTTAAATATTATTAGCAGATGCCATGGCGGACTTTTTTATTTAGATACTCTCCGATAATTTAGAGCTCTCCGACTATTCTTTATAAAGCATTCGTATACCTCTTACCGCTTAAGCAGCGTTCACAAAAATAGGCGCCCTCGTAGGTACTTCTTTTGCTAGGGAAACTTTTAGTGGGATAAAAAGTAGCGTATATGTTAATCCAGATTAAGAATTGCCTATATTTATATAAAATTTCATCAAAATCAGTAGTTATTGCGAAGGGAAGTAACAAAATTTCGCCTTTATAATATTAGTAGAATTGTGAGGTCAAAGTATCGTATTATTTATTTTTGTCTTTAATATTTATATGGAAAGTGACTCCATAATCTAATAAAGTAGGCCATTGATAGTATATTATAAAGACAGTCGTCAGATAATACTTGTACGTGTACTTTCGCTTAGATAATGTTGAGGAATGGGGGCTTATTACGTTACAACTATGTATGTAGAAAATGTACAAAGGTGTGACGTCATACGACAAACAACCTAATGTATCATAGTAATTTATTGTTCATGAAAAAATATCGTTTTTAATATTCTTCAATAATGTACCTGACGGAGAAATAAACAATAATTTGACATAACACATATTAAACATATATTATAATCATGCATTAAAAAACTGACTGAACTGCACTGAATAATTTGTCAGTTTTTTAATGCATTATTATCTGCAATTATGGATTTAAAAATGAAACCAATCTAAATATTTTATCGCGTCATTGGAAAATAACATGTGACATTTACTGATTACTTGAATCCGATAATGGTTATAGATAATTAACTAATTAACGATATGAAACGTCTTTTTTAATTTACATCCGATGGCCCTGATAATACTCTAGCCTACCACAAAAAGTGTATCTAGCGCTACTATCGGTTAGGGCTGGCTAACCGATAGCAGCTATATGTTTTTTATAGGTCTTTCAAAAATATTGGAGATGTGGGAAGATCGTTTTTCGATTTAGTTAACCGTTTGTGAGTTATTGAGCTTTAAAATGCCAATTTCCTGGGTTCCATTGTTGCTAGTGTGGCACATCTGTTTAATAATCTTTGTCGTCCACTTTGTGGCAACGTAATCTGTGACATTTGTAATTTTCGTATAAATAGAGTTAGATAGTCAAGTTACCAATAAGATAAATATACCAATAATATACCCCTATATACTAATAAATAAATGCCCAAAATACGGGAAACTAAGAAATGAATTGTGTATTTTGTAAATCGTGTTCTGAAACTACACTAGAAAGGATGTTTCTAAATGCGTTTAAAGTGATGTGTACGTTTTGTTATTATGATCTTATTAGTTCTCATGCGTGTTTTCTTAATCTAACAGGAAACGATCCTTGAGCAGATTTGGGCAGTCTCCGTTAAAAATATTATGTCGCTGATTGCTTCTTACTGTGGTACCTAACTGATAACACCTTATTATAATTACAAACTCAAACAACTTTTCGTAACCAGTCATAGGATGGGTAGTCAAAAATTTATTATCTCGAGTTTCTTTATGCATCGGAAGGCACTTTAAGCCTGCATCTGTTGTTGACACCCATCAATCCGCACAGGGCTTGTGTGGTGGAGTATGATCTGTTTTCTATATTCGATTATATCCATAAGGAAGCCCTTAGAATATTTTTTTGTGTCCCTAATTTATCTTACATTAGGAGGACCAAAGTTGAAAAATATTTACCTTTCATCTTTTTCAATAACTATCTTTCCGCCAGCGGCTCGTCCGCATGGTCCATAGGTAACTGTTTAGTGGGATAAAAATAGCCTATGTGTTAACCCAGTCTTAGAACTATCCGTATACCGATTATTATCAAAATCCATCCATAAGTTTTTGTTTGAGGAAGTAACACAAACATCAAAATTTCGCCTTTACAATATTAGTAGAATTATACACGAACGGCCTGTACGAATTAACGATGAATATATAGAAAAATGAGGAGAAAATAGCAGTAAATATGGATTGAAGGAAAAGGACAAGAGAAGGGGATGAACTAATATGTATCTATTGGGATTAAAGAGTATGTAAGTATTGACAATAATATCATTTAATTTTATAAGATTGCTCGTTTAAAGATGCTGATTTATAAAATCGACGTATTCCGTAACTCTGGCGTAAGCAGCCGGCATGATGGACTCGCAACCAAGAGGAGAGCCGAATGAGGTGATGCCAATCTATGGAAAAATAATAAAAATATGTTAATCAGTTCAGTCAGATCAGTTAAGAGTAGTTTGGAGTCGCAGAGGATAAGTGCCGTGGCCCGCGATTGTTGTTGTAAGTAACTTTCGCAAGGGTCGGTCAAAGGGTGCGGGACAAAAAAACTATTAACTCGTGCTACTCCGTACTTCAGAGGGTACGTTAAGCCGTTATTCCCGGTTGCATTTGCAGTCGTTAAACTCTCCAATCCGCATAGGGCGCTTCCTCTTTATCCATCCATAAGGAAGGCCTGTGTCCCTGCAATGGGGACGTAAAAGGGCTGATGATGATCACAAAACAGTTCAATAATGCTCTATGAAAAATCAATGTATGAAGTATAATGTATTGCTCTTAGTTGATAAGATTTTTGAATGAATGACATGGCTTTTGGATTCTTACATAAAATGCTTGCAAACAGTGGCCTAATTATCTTATTTCAAAATCTAGTAATGCGATTGTGATAACGTTATTTGGAATTATGAACCGTTAAAAGTCACAATTGCTTTCGGAACGAAAACTTAAACCCATATTTACGTCTAACGCTTGCCTTAAACAATCTCAGTTAACATTAAATTAATCTATTAGTATTTTTCAAAAACAATTTCGCCATCGCAACAACTATCAAATATCAAATAGTTGTATCGTGAAGCTCATGAATGTCTTTCAAATGTCAAATTGAAAGGGATTGTAATTAATTTTAAATATAGACAATTAGGCCTCAGGTTAGACTGAAATATGATGTCGATTATAAGAAAAAAAATAGTAACGCACCAGAATCGGGCTATTGTTTCTGAAGATAACAAGTGGACCACCAGAGTCTCCTCTGCAAGTACCAACACCACCAAGACCACTGGTACAAATATGGTCCTCCTGAATGAGGAGAGGGAAGCTAAAGCGGCAGATGTTGTTGGAAATCACGTTCAAATTAACGTGGCTCAAGAATTGGTTAGTAGTGATGTTAGCGTCTGTAAGAAAAAATATACGAGCTCGATGAACTAGTTCTTTTTCGAAAAAGCACAAAGAAATTACCAGTCCTAAGTACTACTATTCGGATATAATAAAAAGTGACTTGACAATAGTTCGATATATAAATTGTTGAATTATGGCTACATTAAATAATAGGAAGCAAAAAATGAAGAAAGGGTTGGTAATATTTCAAAATACCAGTTAATTTATAGCTAGAGGATATATTTAAGTTGCCTATGTGGAAATAATTTAATTATATTCCTTAGTCGGAACTATTTACCAGTATCAGAAATAATGTCTGACTGATTGAATTAAATTGTTTTAAAACAAACCGTTACTATTTTAGGAAAAATTATTTACAAATTAGGTGACTAGGTAAAAAAAACTTCAAATATCTTTAAATTTTGGTTTACGTTACAATCTTTATAGAAAAAAATAGTTGCACACAATTTACTAGTTAGATTAGAAGGATCTCGATGGCGCAGTGGCTAGCGCACTCGGTCTGCGATACGGTTGTTAAGCAACTTTCGCAATGGTCGGTTATAGGATGGGTGACCAATAATTGATTATTTCGAACTCCTCTGTGCTTCAAAAGGTACGTTAAGCCGTTGGTCTTGGCTGCATCTACAGTTATTAATACCCACCAATCCTCAATGTGTCTGCATGGTGTATCATGGCCCATTCCCCTTATTCGATTTGATTCGTTTCCATGCATAGGGAAGACCTGAATTCCAGTATAACATTAATAGGCTAGTGATGATTAGAAGGTTAAACAGATACATTACTATCACTCGTCAAGCCAAATCCAGATGCAGTAGCTAATTCACCAACAAAGTTTTGATTGAGCAAATCTCCTGAAGGCAGAGCTATTGGGGCCACTGTGTCTGTAAATAAAGAGTATTTTTAGCTAGTACGATTTATCGTCCCCGATACTAAATTATATATATAATAAATTAAATATATACTAAATTTCATGAGAATCGTTGCAGCCGTTTCCAATATTCAGATTATATATATATTATAAGATTTTTCCTGAATCTATGAAAAATCTATACTATATAATTCTTAAAAATTTCCAAATTAAAAAAAAAAGTATCTATTATTTTGAAGAGTGAAGTAGTATATATTTGTCATAAGTTCAAGAACAAATCTTTTGTGTAAAAATAGGAATCGTGTTAGATATTTACTTGACATTACAGCGTTGCTTGGCAGGTAAATTATAGCGACATCATGTCGGATCAAAGGTGGTTGCCAACCGGGATGAGTGACAACTGCACTGGTAGCTAATCTTTGTCCACCAGAAAACAGGCGGGTTGATCCCAATATGACGGTAACCCTCCAAGCCTGGTGCATGCCGTCAAACCAACAGTGAGCAGCAGTAACGACCCTGTTGGCACTGACCAGTGAACCGCCACATACACCATTTCCTTGCAGCCCGATCATATCAGTGAGAAGACCTGCCTGGTAAGGAAACTGGCCTTCTTCTGCGGATGAACCTCCTACTATTCTTTGGCTTAGGGATCTTTCTTCTCTCTCCCTTATTTGCTCTGCAAGTTTGATGGAATTTTCCAAATATCCATGAGCGCTTGTATAAGGTAGGACATTGGCTTGGGCAATCGCCGCCGCCACCACCAAAAAGATAGCTATAGTTTTCATAATTACGATGTCACCAACTAAGCAAATCTGACGCCATATCGAGCTATATTTATATTGAATCAACTATAGATAAATCATTGGATAAAAGAAATCAACGCGATATGGGTTTGATTGATAATGCGTGTATTAATTTTTAACACTATAAGTAATTATTGAATTGATAAGTTATTAAATTTTGATTTATTATGATTTGGTATTCCCGTGTTTTGTCTGCATGCTTGCTTTACTATTTTATGAAATCTAATTTCAGAAAAGTATAAGAATCCTAAAGAATATGTATATTTTTTATTACACTATTCAATATTTCTATAAAGTTCTTATATACTTTAATATTGCTAAGACGAGTTAATACGAATGTATTGTATGTATTTGATATATATTGTCATGAAAAGATAAAACTTGTTTCATGTTTACATCTCACTACCAATATTTTGTGTTCAGTCGAAGGGATGAGTTCCCGCAATGCGCCTCCATAAACAAACGATGTCAGTTCTGCATCCACGGGGGACTGTCACTCAAGCACTCGTCCGGAACAACCCAACGATATTAGCTGGCCACTTTATGTTGACCTTTTGAACACTAAGCTCGTTATCTTGCTTGCACTTCACCAGGGTAGTTCATTCTATATTGGAGGTTTTCAGTCTACGGTCAAACTTTTTTGCTATGCTGATATTGCATTTGGTTCAGATTCACATAGAAGCTTTGTTTGATGTCAGTGTAATTTATAACAATAAGGTTGGTTAGTTTTGAAATTCGTATTTTGCTTTTTGCTATTCAAACAAGACCTTCTGGAAATCTTTCAAGAAAGTCTTAAATTGTTTTATATCAAATGTAGTTTTTAAATATTAATGATGTTTCAAAAACAAATGGAAATATATTTATTTAAATGTTACATAATCAGTTATTCTCAAAAAAGTTTAACGACAGAAATTTTTCTACGAGATTGACTTGATCTGCTAAATGTGTACTCAATGTAGAAAAACAAAGAGAAAGATTCACTAAACGTTTAGTTTATATTATTTTTCAGTTTTCATTTTCTTTCTAGTCTCTTGAATTTGTCAATTATGTAACCTTTATTTTTTTGCCAGCGCCTAAATAACATAAACCTTTCGTTAGAAATCCATTATAAAGTTTAAAAGATCTCAGCGTACAGACAGTGGGAAGCGACTTTGCTTTATCCTACGTATAAATAACACTGTAGAAGGCTACAATGCATTATAAAACTCAAATACGTAGCTACACATAGTTTTAATATTTACTACCTATTGGTACGTGTCATCAGGGATCTAGGAGTTTATAACTATGCCGATATCCTGGTCCAGCGATGTTGTGTCAAGTCCCCGAATGTACTTCGGCTTTGAACAAGCTTGCAAACATGTCCAATTAAATCAGTCCAGCTGAGAATATCAGAGGCCCGACGTACCTATATGTAGCGAAAAATATGCACGTTACTCAAACCGTAAAATGTATTGAATTAAGTTGAATAACAAGAACGTTACATTTTAGTTTGTAAAAAAAACATGAAGTCACTGTTTTAGCTACGTTAGCTTCTTTTTACACATCTGCCAAAAAAACTAGCTTTATACTCTAGTCAAAACTTGATGTGTTCCTGCGACTTTGACCACGTAATTTATAGTTAAGTCACCCTTTTATGATGTAGCTAGATGAAACAATTTTCAAAATCGGTCTAGTATTTCCAGAGCTTTAACCATTTCGAAAGATTTAACCGTTTGTATACTATTCAATACAAATCTTTCCTCTTTATAATATGAATACAGATGTATTTCAAAAGCTTCTTCTGAAAACGCACAAAATGAATGATATTCGATGAATTAAACAATATATGGAAATTTAAGCATTTTTAAGAGAATTATTATGTATTACCTCGCTGGATGAAGTCAAAACAAAAGGCGAACACACAATAGGTGTATTTAATAAGCTCAATATTGATATTTTGTTCGGCGAAACTTATTACGTCTATATCTGTCATGCCTATGTGTTCGCATATAATTTTGTCTCGATTTTCAGTTGCCAGTAGGTAGAGCCGTATGGTACTGACGTTTAATAAACTTGCACACTGGATAGAGTTTACGGTGATACGTTTTGGAATAGTACGACCAATTCAATTTGGTACTAATACAACTTTATTGATTGTATCATCGCTGCATTTAAAGACAAAGACAAAGATAACGAAATCAACGGGTTAGAATCAGATAAAAAGGAACAATTTTCCATTTAATTTTATAATCACGAAAACAAATTAACTAAATGGTGAATCTTTCAGGTAACTTTGTGTTTTTCTGTTGAAAAGTTGGAACATTTTCTTCGGTAAAAATTTGAAATAATCAAATATCATTATTTATTTATAAGTGACAATCCAAATTAATGCGACGTATTCCGTCTCATCAGAATCGACGCAAGTATCAACTTCATTGACTCACTGTACACATGAGTGACGTGAAGCGGCGTCAAGTTACGGGCCGGAGCAACAGAGGCGCGCTGAGTCTAGCATGTTCCTTCGAAATCTTCCAAATATAAGACATGACAGGTTAAGTCATCTCAAAATATATCCCCATTCGCTGTTGATTGGCTCGATATTGTTTTCTTTAGTATTTTCGGAATAATACGTTGAAGTTAATTCAGTTAGTACATTTCAAGTTTTTATCCGTCCGTAAAAATTTAACGTTCACAATGCTATACTGGAAAATATTTTTAATGATAAATGCTTAAAAAATCCAGCAGCTCCAATCTGAAATTGGACTCGACCTATGACTTTTCGCAAACTGCGCGACTGCTCTAACCACTGAGCTATCCAGGACCCAACACGACTGAAGACTTTTTTAAAACTTTAATGAAGATTCATCTAAACAATTTTAGATGCTGACTTATAGAAGATGGAAATTTCTAATGCCCGGCCTTGTTTCAAAAGAAGTTTTTTAAGTATAAAGCTATTTTAGTTAACATAACTAGAGTGTAATAGATCTTCTCTTGTCTTTTCTATGAAACCTATAAATTTTTACAAAATTTTAAGATTTTTTTAAAAATTACCATTTCATAAAAGATAATTATAATTATGATGACTAAAATTGTTATCATTATGTACTTCATTTTAAATTATCAAGGAACGCTGTGCGTGTGGTAATCAATTTCCAATAATCGTAAAATCGAACTGAATTGAACTACATACATTCTTAATTGGTTTCGCGTATTAATAATGCCCCTTCTTCAAGCTTAGCTTTGAGTATAATTTAGCTTTAGGCTTTAGAGTTTCGCTATAATTCTTCAATTTAGCTTAAGCTTCGTTGTGTAGTAAGCCTCGGCAATTATCACGCTAATTAAATTTACTTCGTTATTACTAATTTATTCGATAACAACGACCCTTGGCTTCCACAGGTAGGTAAATTACAGAACTAAGAACGCCGTCACATGCGATTCATCATAATTTGTCGAATATTCATATAGTGCGTAAAATAAAATGTTTTTTTTTTTTAATAATTTGATTTTATTCTGTATTTTTCTTAGTAGGCCTCCTCATTCACACACTTTGTTTTAAACCCGGACTAAGTGCATCCTGTCTTTCTCCACACAATTTTGTACTTCAATTCCATCCATGGTCTCCACTTTAATACGACGACTCCATCTTCTATTCATCTCTGTTAATGTGTCCCGCTCAACACCGTTTTCTGTTGGCATATGACACGTGTTTTGACGGTAAATTTAGTTCCTGATTCTATCACGCAGTCACGTATAACCCGCGTCGTTTTTCTCTGCATGCGGACTTGCCGGTTTCTGAATTGAGAAAAGTACAAAACCTCAACTGATTATTCTCAATGACTTAAGTTTCTTGCTTTTCATAAAGAAAAATGTCTTAGTTATTATCAAATTGCTATCAAATGATCATTAAAAAACTAGAATCAGAAATTATAAAGCAGCAGCCCATCTAAGATTAATACGTAGAGTTGACACAGGCATATATGTATAAATACTCATCTATTCGTTCGTTACTTCTGAATTGTGAACTTTAATAAAAACGTTGCAATGTGCGTTTCAGCTTGTAAAAAATCACACAACACATCCGCTCGCGTGTCAGTCCCATGCGTTATGTTAGCTCGACATCCTCCAAAGGCGCGAACGTTCGCGATGACAGTTCGACGTTCCTGAACTTGTACAGCTTCATTTGAATTTAAATCAATACCTATAATAATAATTGCGAATAAAGATATATTTCCGCCAGACGTCGGGTTGGGTTTAAATTTTTTTGGTATTACAAATTTTATATTTTTCATTAAAAGTATAAAGGTGATCCGCTATATGAATGAGCCTTTTTAGTGAGGGGCGAGTGCGACGATGACTATGCGATTCTAATTGGCGCGACTGGTGTTCGTTGGCGTCGGTCCGTGATATCGTGCGGGTGGTTCGTTGCTCGCTCTCTTTTCGGCCCGAGTGCTCGAGTGCTCGCACGAGCGTTTTATTTATCGCACCTTGCTGTGAAAATGGCCGAACATTTGATATAGTCAATTTTTTTGTAAGTTGCCAGTTTGTTAGGCTAATTTTAGTTGGTTTGCAGTGTATAAGAGAGGTCATTATAAAACGAGGACATTTTTAAAAATATTATAGGTTTTAAAGATCGTTTTCATTATTTAAGAAATATGTTATAGTTTAGTTCATCTTTTATTTTCCTTGTGTACACTATATCTATTATAAAATGGGGTATGTGATTGTAACACGTAAAATCTATAATAAAATCTTGAAGTCGAATATGAATGTTAATTTTTGTTTTAAACATTTCTATGGTGATGTGAATGATAAGTGATGCATCGTTTTACGCATTTGAATAAATAATTTATTTTTAGGAGAACTTGTAGATATACAAAAAAAAATTTGGATTGGAGGGTATTAACGATTACAAATGCAGACGGGACCAACGACTTAACATGTCTTCCGAAGCACGGAGTAGGTCGAGATAATAATTCAAAATTTGAGATTTTTGGTCACCCATCCCGTGACCCTTGCGAAAGTTGCT